GTAAAAGTTGATTGAATTTAATTGAAATATTTGGAGATCTGCACAGAACATAACTCTCTCTCTCACTCTATGTAGTTTGCACTTCAATTGCACAACAGACAGAAACGCCACAGAGGGAGAGAGAGAGAGAGAGAGAGAAGCGAGCGCCTGCAGCCCCCCCATACTCCGCTTCAAACGCTGTTTGATTTTCAATTTAAATATGGTACAAAAAAATTGTATGCTGCATATCAACTGCATTTGGCATTGCCATTGCCTCCTCCTTTTTTTTTTGCTTTTATTTTCGCCTCTGGAAATTGGAGAGAAGCGGGAAAAGTCTGCTTTTCTGCGGGTAATTGACGGGTGGCGCCCCTCATGACATTTAAATTATTTTTTATGCTGCGGTTAATCACAAAAAATATGTTGAAATGCAGGCTTAACCTTTTTCTTTTATTAATATTTGCGCTGCAGTTGCCGAAGGTGGAATCCGAAGGCCAACCCGAATATGTTCTGGATTTTATGGAGTTCCAAAAGTTCATGGGAAATACCTCAAAGAAAGGAATGGGGAACGTATAAACATTTCAGATCTCTCCCCATCCTTACAAGTGCCAACAGCCCATCCAGACATGCCACTTAAACTGTCCAACTGTTCGTACCATTTCCCTTACAACATCAATATCGGGGGGCAAAAAACGCGCCTAACAAAGGGAAAACTTTTACACACGAACACACACAAACGCGCTGCGTAGGCCTGTAAGAAACCGAAAGCAGAAAAACGGCACGGAACCCATAGACAATTTCCGTTTCCTGTTGTAAGATGAACAGCTGCTGCCAGCCAGCCTGCGGGCTTTCTCTCTGTGTCTCTGTTTCTGTGGCAAGGACTGCCGCTACTTTCTCACGTTTTTTGCGTGTTAGTAGAACAGAAAGTAGAGGCCTTCTGTTGCTTTTGCTGTTATTTAGGACAGGAGCCAAAGGTAATAGAGCCAATAAAGGTGGTCAGCAAATTGGCCAGCGCATGTGGCTAAAACTTTGGCGAATTCTTGGAAGAGTTACGTGCTGCTAAGACATACTGGTTAAAATATGGAGTATGAGCTGCTTCTGCTGCTTAAAGTGTCTCAGTTTTGAGTCTTAAAAACGATAAACTTCTATGATTTTCCCATCATCTTGAGCTCATCTTTACGCAACTGATTGAAACCCACTCTCAGACTCTCCCAATCCCTCACACATTATCCCACATATTATGACGTAAAAACCAAAGCTAAGCAGCCTTAGTCAGGCACTTAGTGTACGCTACCTTCATATGAGCCACCTTTATAGCACAGGCAAACATCCTTATGCGATGGTCAAGCATTTTGCCTGCCTTTTAATGCGTTTAAGCGCATTTACTTGGCCTAAAGAGACAGAGAGAGAGCTACTTACTTACTTGGAATTCAAGTTGAAAATTGTGCCAGAGTGCCACAGACACTCAGACCATGGCCACTCTGCCATACTCTGTGCTGTGCCAAGCTGCCACTACCATCCCACACTTTTCCCCCACTTGTTGCCTGACTTTCTCTCGCCTTAAGACACACTAGCACCCACAGCCGCACCGTTGCCCCTTCAACCACCCACATGTGAGAGCTGATTATGTTAATGCGTGGACCCGTTTAATGCGATGCCAAGTCAAATGGCATTTTGTGGTGGCTGGAAAATTGAATTAAAACAGAAAAAACAACAAGCAGAAAGGGAAAATGTAAGATTACCACTGACGGGACGGTTCGGTGTTAAAAGTTCACTCGCATCTCGCAATTAAATTAAAAGTTGGCCAATTTTATTACGATTTTATGACTTTCACTTCAATTTAAAGAAAGCAAAATACAAAATAAACGAAAAGGTGAGTGAAATTACCATCAGGTCGAGAGATATACTCCAGCTCCAGCTCCAGCTGTGTGCTTGTGGGCGTATGTCTGTGCTCATTACATGGCATTTGCTTTTAAGGTTTTCCTTTCTGTCTTAATGAAGTCCAGTAAAAAAGGTATACTGAGGATTTTTCAGGTGTTTTGGCTGGTAAAATCAAATGAATTACAAAGAGATTATGTTTTATGTATTTAAAATTCCGTTTTTAGTGCTAAGACACACTGTGAGAGAGCAAGAAATGCTTCTGCAGGATTCTAGTTCGCATTCTGAAGCAGAAATCCATTGCAAAAATTATACAAAAATCTATTGTACCTCTCTCTCACTGTAACTTACCAGCGAAGTCTGGATAATGCTTCAAAGAGCATTCAATCTTCGTACACAGCACAGTCTGCCTTTAGTCGGCCTTTTCTTCTCTTGTTTCCCACCAGCAGGTCCTTAATTTTTACTTTACCTTTCCTTTTGTTTGCTTTAATTTCCACTTTTGGCCTTCTTATCACGAGTAAATGAAAAGCCCCGAGTTGACCCGCATTTTAAAGCTGCTTAAAAGGCTGCTCGGCTCTGCTCTGCCCCGCATTGAAATGAATGAATATTTTGTCTTGCGGGGATCGACTAAAGGGGGATGAAGTGGGGTAAATTGGGCGGCAATTTGCGGGCAGGGCAGCAAACAAAAATTCATTAAAATTTTGCATATTTATAAAACTTGAGAGTGACCGGAGCCCGAGCCCGAGCCCGAGCCCCAACTCCACTACTTGTTGGCGCCTTGGGGCACTTTTTGTTGTTTAAAGCTCTTGCAACCAGTTCAGGGTCCAACAAAAAGATATATTTTTATTAACAGGAGAGAAGTATGATGAGCAGGGGAAGTAATTTAATAGAAACAAATACTTCTAACAAAGGCAATAATAAATAGGTTAAAATAAATAAAATAATTCACTGATACAATACAGAATATTGCCATTAAAGCTGTGAACTTTCCAGAGGGTATCTAAAGTTTCGTTACCTGAAAAAAATGTATGTCTGGCCATTCATGTTTATGCCTCGTAATGTGGCAAAGCTTAAGAGTTTGCTAGCCGAAAAGTATGCTGCAAAAACGAGAGAGCGAAAAAAACTTCCTACCCTCCCCCAGGCAGCCACTCGAGAGTTGGGTGGCTGACTGGCGAGTGGGTGGGAAAAGTTTTTAATATGCGGATAGCTTTAATTAAATATGTTTTCCACTCGGCGAACCCAAAAACGCAAAAGAAAAACAAAAGAAAAACAACAGCCCAACATTTTGTATGTGTTTGTTGCTTTTTTCGAGGTTTTCCGCATTTTTTCCCTGTACTCAAAACATAAACATAAATGTTGGCTGATGTGGGCAAGCAAACAAGTTTTTTTCCCCTTATTTTTTTGCTATTTATTTTCATCTTTTTCGTTTGCGTTTTTTCCTGCTTTTGCTATTTAAGCAGAAAAACTTCTTGCCCGAAGGATAATTTGTATGTTTATGTATATATTTTGTGCTGCTGCTGCTTCTTGTTTACGCAACTTGTTTTACTTTAGTCGCTTCTAATTTTGCTGTTGACTTACTTTTCCCTTGGTTTTTGGCATACATTTTCTTTTGTTTTGTTTTCTATGCATATTTATGCTTAAATGTGGGAAATGGCTTTATGATGGGAATCTATTTACAGCAGAAATTCTATCGGAATTTTAGTAAAATATTTTCGAGTAATTAAACATCAATAAATTCCTCAAATTTTGATTATTTTTGATAAAACCAAGCTCTAACAAATTTTGCAAGTAAAATGTCTTTAATTTGTGCCATCATATGTTATGGTGCTTGTAAGAGTAACTAAGAGACTGTTTAATCAACGAATTGTTCAAGTTTAAAGCAGGAAAATTACTCTTTCAACTTGTTCCTCCCTATTTTCCTCTACCATTCAGCGAGCTCTTTCCGTTTATTAATTCCATTCAACCCGAACCGAAACGCCTTTCCATATAATTTATTTAATATGAAATTTCTTTCTTTCTTTCAATTTTTTCCTTTGTTCTTTTTGCCTCTCCTTCCCATTGTTCGACGATGATTTTTCCGCCTACAAAGTGAAGTTTAAATAAACATAAAATGGGCGACGACACGTTCTGGGGAATATATCCTTTGCATATGCATGACTTCCCTCCTTTCCACCCCATTCCTCACACTGAAAGGACGAAAACAAAACAAACAAATTGACATGTCGGCGGCCGAGTTTCTTTATTTATTTTTGGATGCTGCTACCAAAAATTGTTGTAGAATTCATCGGATATGAAAATCTAATGATTTGTAAAGGCGTCGATAAGCGGCACAGAGTGGGGGTGGTGTGGTCGGTGCCCCAGGGCCTTGTTGAGAAAACTTTTACCCCCTTGTTGGAGGGAGGGGTGCAAAAAAAGGATTTGCAACATTTATTGAAATATTAATATTTACTCAACTCGTGTGTTGGAAACTTTTTGGGAGGGACACAGGACACACACAGCCATGTAAATTTAAAGGCAGAACAAATGTTTGTCCAAGAATTTTCCATTGGCCAAAGAAGGACCCAATCTGAGACCCTTTTTTTGGACAAACATCAATTGAAAGTTATGGCTGCTTGGGCTTTTGTGGTTACAGTTTTTAGTGGTTATGGAGTTTCCGATTTTTTATTTTAAATATAAAATAAATTCAATTCAAAAATCTACAGCTAACTTTCGCTTGGTTTATGGGTCATGTGTCAGTGGAGAACCATCTGTGTTCGCAGATTTTCCAACTCCATGCTGGATTAACAGCCATTATCTTTTTGTTGTAAAAGACTCTCTGCTCCAAATGGAGTGTAAATTTATTGTGTAAATTGTATTTATATAAGATTTATAGATGGCATACAGAAATGTGTGTGTGCGGTGTGTGTGGTGTGTGCTTCTTGAGAGCTGAGATTTCTGTTGGCATTAAAAAATATTTACAGTGTCTAGACTTTGCGGAGCATAAATCAAATGCATTCGAGTGGGGAAAAACTTATGCGTGTGTGTGTGTGTGTGTGTGCAACGTGTGGCAAACAAAAATTGAAGCCAGAAAAACTCAAAATAAAACTTTAATTTTTGGCATAAAGTTGAACTAGTTTTAATGTCTTTTGAACTACAAACTCGATTGGTAATTTGGTTAATTAAAATTTAAAATTTAAAAGAAATACATGTAAACAATACATAAAGAATTATTCGCTAGAGCGATAGCCACTCGGATCGACAACGAAACGCATGCCAAATGCAAAACGATCTGTCGGTACGCTCAAGACCACACTCAAGCCCATTTCTAGCGGAAAATTGCTGAGATATCTGTAAGGAAAAACATGACAGAGAGAAAGAAAAGAAAATTCCTGAACTCTGAAACCCACTTGGTCCACATAACGCCCACAGATGCATCCGAATCGATCATGCCATGCACGGCAGCATCCCAAAAGTTCCATTGATAGCCAATTGTGGCTATGGCCTTGTTTGTGATATAATTATAGGCCAACACATTGGCCATCTGTATCTGTGGATAGATGCGCTGCCAGTAGCTAATATCCACGCCATTACGCGACGCAGTGGCCGACAGAGCATAATTGTGATGCGAATAACTAAGAGGGAATAAGGACAGGGATTAACCTAGAATTAAATGCTCACTGGCAATGAAATATATCTTACCGCGCTGCTAAAGCATAGTCTGTGGATAGTTTCTGTGGCGCATTCCACTCCAATAGCATCTCGCCGCCCAGGGCCACATGTGTGGTGATGGCGCGCATCAAGGACAATGTACAGCGGCCGGTCTGCTTGCGAACACTATAGAAATTAGCAGACCAAGTGTCACAGGGGCGTGTCAATTCGACGGTCAGTTGACTGTCCACGGGCGTATTGTCCCTGCCCTTTTGCAGGGAGGCCTCCATGCGAAGGCACTCGAATGGGTAGTAGAGTATATTCAGATTGGCAGCTTGCGTTGAGGGATGTATATCACCAATAATTGTGGGTGTGCGCTAAGACAACACACACAGAGGAGAGGTAGGGAGTTATCTATGGGAAATGGAGAGGGTCTTCCACTTACCATGACATCATTTGTGAGGCGAAATGTATAGAGACCGCCAAAGCGAAAGCCCGCCGCCTTCATGTGACTCAACACCCATGAGGCTGTGACATACTTGTGCGGTGCCAGGCGATGCACATAGTCCAGTTCGAGGCCATCAAAAAATTTGGGCATCACTTGCTGTGCCAAGCTGTGAATACTTGCCACATTGCCGGGATTCTTTTTGGTGCAGGCACCGCGTACCCACTGAAAGCAGCGTGGAAAATTTATGCCAGATTTATCATGTTCATCATAAGGCGGACAACCTTTGCAAGACATGGCAATAGAAGATCAGAGAAATATCTAAAATCTGAACTGTAACGTTTGTAGAATTTGGTGGAGTTTTGATCTGTTTTGTTGCTGAGTTGGAGAGGATTGAATTTCGTTCTCCAATGGAAAAATGACAGGCCATGCAAATGCTACATATATTCGGTGTGATTTTGTGTGTTTCTGTGGAGTTTCTATGAAATATTTATGATATTCGGGGAATGGTTAAAGGGGAACCCAACCCACTCAAGTGAAAATATCATCAGCTGTCAATTGTCATTTTATGCGCCATTTCATATGGCTCCTCCAGCCGGTTGTGGTTTCTGTTTCTCTTCTTGGCACACCATTAGGCGCATTTCACACTTTTTACATTATTTATATGCGCTCCAACGTCCTTTTTGGTTTTTATTCCAACTGTCTGTCGTTCTGTCTTTCGGCGATGCCACTGTTGCTTCTGTTTCTGCTGCTCCGTTTCATGAAATATTTAAACATTAAGTCCAAGAGTCATGGCTTTTAAAGGATAAAGCGACGACAGCAACAACGACGACGACAAGGACGATAAAGATGATGATGATGATGATGCATGAAGACACGCTATACGCGTGTCCATTGAGGTTCTTTTTAGGGTTTGAGGCGATTTATAGTTGGAGCTGATTCCAGACGACAAATCATTGAATGGGCAAGATGCTGAATTGTAATTTAAATGAAATTTGTAAGAACGAAAATTTAAGATATAATATTGGAAGCTGTGTTGAAATTTAAAAAAAGAAATTGGTAAACTTTTCTTTTTGAAAATTGGCTCCCAGCTTTCGGCAATGCATAGAAAAATCTCTAAATACTCCATCTAAACGAAAATTAATCGGCAAAAATACTCAAAAATAATTCCAAATTATTATTCCATTGTCTTATTTATTTATTAATTATTTAAAGAACCAGAAGAATTTTCACATTGTATCAATGGGTTCTATGTGTAATGATAGATTTTTGACGGGCATATCATTGCCATAACGCTCTCCCTCAGCACACAGATTCTTGTACTGTTTATCCTGTCTGTAGCAGTCCTGTCCGGGCCTTAAGCTCCACTTGTAGATGGGTCGTTCGGGTATATTCATGGTGGCAAAGGAGCAGCAGAATAAAAAATACTTGTAGCCCGTGTACTGGAACGTTATGGCAGCACAACCAAAATGGGAATTCTTCTCATTGATCAGCAATGTGCTGCGCAAGGTATTACTATGCGGCAGAGTAGAGACAATGGATTAGGTCTTTTGATTTGTATTTCTTTTACTTACACTTTCGCATAGGAACTGGGCAATCGGAGTGTATCGGAACGCGGTATGCCAGTCACCTGACTGTGCCACGACTCCACCATGGACTTCATATGGGATAATTCGGGTATTACCGATTGGCCCAAGGGTCTGATCACCTCATCGCCCATACTGCCAATATAATAGAAGTATGGAGAATTCATGCATTGCTGAAAGCGTAAACGGCAATGGGTTAACTGGAGTTTGGCGAACCAGGCCAACTCCTCGGACCACACCATGCGGGCCATGCGACCGGCCACTGGTAGGTTTCGATATCCACCTCTGGCCACCTTATTTCGCACCGTATTGAACATGTCGTCGAGCGCTTTTTTGTACGGTTTCATTTCTATAAACTTTGAGCTATGATGGCAATCGTGGCTGAGGGTCTATCGAAATATATAATATGGAATATAATTTGGGTTTTCGATAACAGTTTTTAGCTTTTAAAGGTCCGAAACTCACTCCGTTGTTATGGCACGCTATATTATCGGTTTTGCAATACTTTGAGGTGCAATATCGATTATCCTTTTCTCGGCTTTTTCTACACTCAGCCAACGTGACAGTGGCTGCCAACAAAATTAGTAGTCTCTGCACACCGATCCTCATTCTGGCTGCGACTCTACAACGACTATGAAGCGTACACCTGAGGTGGCTGCAATTTATAGAAATTTTCTAAACTGAAAACTCGCCAAAGCTTTCAAACACTTGTGTATAAAGGCAGCACCCAAACAGCTGTTTTGCAACTTAATGGAATGCACTTGATATCGAATTGTGATTGTTTTTGCATGTGGGGATTGCCTTCCCATTCTTTGTTCTACTTTTGAGATTTCAAAATAATTGTGGGTAACTTAAGAACACATTTCTATGTTGATTTTTCTAAGAAATGTATTAAATATTTACAGATGGCTCGAAAGCTGTTCTATTGGCTGTGATTAGAGTGGTAGAAGAGCACCATAAAAACCCCTCAAATCGGTCTAGAATGGCATTATATTTTAATGATTTTAATTAAATGATTTGCTTTAGAATTTTGTCTGGAAAAATGTTGGGAAAAGTCAGTTAAGTTGAATTTAAAACTTTTTACATTTACATTTCACTTTTTTAATATCCATTTTCATTTTTTATTATTTTTTTTAGAATTGATTTTTTTATTAGATCTAAATTTCTTGCAACGTATACCTTTGACTCTAGCACTAATCTTCTATTAAAGTTTTGTTCTTTGTTAAAGAGGTTTTATTTTATTTAAGAACAAAAAACACGTTATACTCTCTCCAAGAAAGAGCATAAATTACAAATGGCAATGACGTTTTGCCAGATGTCTAAGCCGATTTCCACAGCTGTGGAGTTTTCATCAGAAAGCGAATGCAAAAATGTGTTTATTCAGCAGCTCAGTCCGCGGGCTTTGTGCGCTTGTGCTCCTCGAAATTCTAAGCCCCCCGCACCGTAAACTCACTCTCTCTCTCTCTCTTCGTCTCTCTTGTTTCAAGCCACACAGAAATCACCATTCTCTTTCGAGTTGCCAGCCTCAAACATCACTTATTTAGACGGCAGCACTTAGAGTTATCACCCAACCAGCAGCAGAAGCAGCAGAAGCAGCAGCAGAAAAAGGAAGAAGGAGTAGGAGAAGGAGAAGGAGGAGCAGCAGCTGGGCCTTCAAAGCCATTTGCTTTAATTTAATATGCTAAAATATAAGGGGGCGAGCGGATGGGGATGGGAAGAGGGAGCCGCCACCCGCATTCGTATTCGCAAATCAAAGCTCGCGAAGCGACCACAGACAGAACTTCTGCCGTAAAACCACATAAAGCTCAAAGGGAAAACAAATGGATTGGGTGCGGGGCAAAGAGGGTTTTCCCGATGGGTAGATGGAAATGGCAGATTAGACATGATAATCATAAGTAAACAAAGAAAAGTAACACGAAAAGAACTTGTTGAAGGCTAATAGGTGGGGTGGCAGATTACACTTCGCCCTAAAATGATTTCCCAATGAAAATGGAGAGCAACCAATGACTGAAAAAATCAATCAATATTTATGCGGAAATTCCACAACAAACTGTTGCACGGGGGTAAACAATGTTGACCCAGTTCTAAAAATGGTTTAAACCGGATCAACATTACAAAGTAATAAACAAACAAACACACGAAAAAAATTGAATTTTGAAGTGCAGTTGCATTTGCAGTTTTAAAGCCAATTGCAGGGCAAAGCTCGACTCTCCATTAACTTATGAGCCAAAAAAGTATTTTGGGAGGGATTGCAATCTCTCGTCCCAACGCAATGCAAATATTCAAATGAATATAAATTAAAATTGAAATATAAATGATACGATACAAATGGAAAACAAGGCAAGGAAAATAAAGGCAACATACAATTCAGAGAGAGAGAGAGCAAAAAGCTTGACAACATTTAAAATATTTACTGTCCTGTTTCGGGCCATTGTGGAAATTGTAAAACATCGAAGAGAAATGCACAAAAAATCAACAGGAAAACAAAAATAAATGGTGGGTAGACAAAACGAAGCTTTCGATACCCTTTAAATGTGATTGCCAAAGATATAAATTCCACTATAATTTTAGTTTTCACATTGGAAACTTCTTAACTTTGTCCCGCATGGCACACATTTTTATCTTCAAGCCTCTTATACCCTCATACCTAAACTTCTGTTCACAGGGTATTGTCGAAAAAGATTCAATCGCGTTTTCATCCACAAAAATGTATTTATTTATCTGCTCTTTTATGTAGTTTTTTCTTTGTGTATAAAAATGCTTACAAACGTGTTTATTTTTTTAATTGCTCACCAGTTTTTCTGCCTCTTGCATATAATTTAATTTTATTTATTACGTCCTTACGAAAAAACGCAACAAAACAGGAACAATAAAAAGGAGTGGAAGCTCGCAATAAATTTTAAATATTTCAACTATTTCTTTGGTTTTTTTTTGAGGATATGTGAAGGGGCGCACTCTTTGCAAATTCGTTATCAATAAAAGTTATTTGTTTTTTCTACAGAATTGAGTGTGTGTTTGAGAGGGCGTTGATCAGCTTCCGGGCTAAATGAAAATGCAATTCCACTACAAAGAAAATAAAATGCACCATGCAAAATAATGGAGTACTCTTTTCAATAAACAAATATTTTTGTGGAGTACTCGTATACGAAATGCACAAAAATCGCTAAATTTAATAGAGCTTGGATTTACTAATATTTGATAAATTCAATTATCGTTTGTTTTTACAGAAAAGAAATAATTGATGGAGTGGCCAACGGCAAAGTAAATATTTGATGCAGAAATTTGTAGAGGTACATTCTGTGGAATAAATTAGTTTTAAAGCGAATTTGTTCATTTGTTAGTTGAAATTTGTTATGTGTTCTGCAAATTGTTTTTCGCTGCTCTTTTTTCTTAATGCCTAATCTGTCGATTTTCATTCATTCCGCTCTTAATTCCAATTATTCTCTCTCGGCGACTACATCGATCAATCTCTCTCTCTCTCTCTGACGATCTTCACCTTAAGTACTAGTTTTGCGCCCTCCCCTTGTACGAAATACACAACTTCCACTCAAGAAAGAATTATCTCCCTAAAATTCTTTGCAACAACAACATTACAGCGCATTCGGCTGAAACTTTGTCATCAGCGTCGTTGCCGTATGCGCAATGCAAGCTAAACTTAGTGCGTGGATGTTTGCGTGAGTAAGTCTTCGACGCCTGCATTAACTTAGGTACCCCTCGCGTTCTTCTCATTTGCGCTTTGTGCTGTGGGTCCGCTCTGGGTTATTGAAGAAGCTTGAGCTGGTCCACGGCCCTAGCTGGTGCTAAGTTTTGGACGCCTGCATTAGTTCAGGTACCGCGCGCATTCTTCTCATTTGCGCTTTGTGTTGTGGGTCCGCTCTGCTGCTGCGCGGCGGCAGAGGGCTATTGAAGATGCTTGAGCTACTCCACGGCTCTAGCTGGTGCGAAGTCTTTGACGCCTGCATTAGTTCAGTTCCCGCGCGCATTCTTCTCATTTGTGCTTTGTGTTGTGGGTCCGCTCTGCTGCTGCGCGGCGGCAGAGGGCTATTGAAGATGCTTGAGCTACTCCACGGCTCTAGCTGGTGCGAAGTCTTTGACGCCTGCATTAGTTCAGTTCCCGCGCGCATTCTTCTCATTTGCGCTTTGTGTTGTGGGTCCGCTCTGCTGCTGCGCGGCGGCAGAGACACAACCCTGAGGTGGTCCAAGGCTCGAGCTGTTGCTGATACCGCGCGCCTTCTTGTTATTTCCGTTTTGTGTTCTGGGTCCCCTTTTGTTGATGCGCAGCGCGAAGATCACTTCTACATTTCTGGTCTTCAGAAGACAATAGTTACATGCCATGATCACAAATCAATATTAAATTTTTTTCGTTTCAGGTACATAAAAAAACAATTTTATTCAAAAGCATATTAAAAACAGTTGTTCTTTACTCGCAAAGCAGTATTTACGAGTGATCTAAAATCTCATAGAACTTAAAAGTAGCACAAACTGTAGACAGTGGGAGAGCTTTCTGTACTCTTGCTAGGCGATAGCTCCTTGCCGTCCTTTTTGTTGGTGGTTGGCTTAGGTGGCTGCTTCTCCTGCCAATATTCGGACTCTGTTTCGGATTCTATTGCCGGCTCCACGGGCAGCAGGTGGCGACGCATCGGCACGGGTTTTGGCCCTCCAACGACACCATTGGTAGGCATGTCCTCCCTGATGTCCTCGGTCTCGCGAAACAGTCGACGCAGCCTCACTTGTCGCATCTTCATATCGATGGCGCGGTCATTGATTCTCTGCATGCGCGCGTACTGTTCGCGTAGACACTGCAGCTTGTCATTTCGCTTGCTGTACATGTTGTACACGTACGGCGACGATTTATCCTTGCAGAACATGGATTGGGGCTTAAAATAATTTAGATTTTAAAATGAAACTTGAAATTTTGTCTTTGCAGCTTAAAAGTTTAGAGCAAAACTGACTTATGGTTTGATTTAAGGTTAAAATATTGAATGACTTGGCCTTCAGGGCCTACCTATTGTAAAAATCAAGGAAATTGTTAGATGTTTATAGGAGGGCATTGTTATTGTCAAGTAATTTGCGCATTCCGACCTTCTTGGCAGCAGCTCTGCTGTCTGGGGCTACCTTCTTCATTCAATGACAACTCTTTTGCACTTATTTCTGGTCCATTAAATATTTACAATGAGGCAAACAAATCAAAGTGACAGCAAACAGAGAAAGAGAGTGAGAGAGGCTTTTACTTTTACTGATTTTCGCTTTACCAAATATTTGCATACCGTTCCAACCCTCCCACCCCCACGCTCACTTTCTCTCTGTGTCTCTGGAGAGACTACTTTCCTTTGACTGGAAGTGAAGGAGTTGTCGAATCCAAAAGAAGAACGGGGTGAAGGGCGGGGCACTTGGCACGATTTGCATTAAGCCTTTGCCTCTCCACAAAATGTTCTACCATCAAAGTGGCTAAAAAGTCTCGCCTGTGCCCCTTGGCAATGCCCATTATCTTGTAATTATTTAAGTGCCTTCAATGAGGCACCTTATTGATGATGACAGGCAACCCAAGAACCCAAGAGCCTCTGTCCAGAAACACCGCCCAACGCCCAACGCCCCATCGTCATCATCAACACATCCTTCAGGACGGACCCCCTCTAGCGATGGCAATAAGTGAAAAAAATCAAAAAGCCATAAAAACTTTACACAATCGAAACGTGCAAAAGTTGATTTTTGCCAACGCCAGCAGCAAAAGCCAAAGAAGAGTCCTACCCGCCCCCATCCTCCTACTCTGCTGCTCAACAAATGGAATCGAAGGGAAAATAAAAAGAAAAAACCAGACAACAAAAAAAAATCAAAGTGTGGCCAGGCCGACGGAGTATGTGAAAGTAAAGTTTTCCTTTCCTTGCTGCTCCCCAGTTTTGTTGGAGTGGGTAGCTAATACGAGGACACAGTACAGTACAGGACGACGACCAGCCCAGCCAGGAAAGTGTGGAGTGTGGAGCGTAGAGTGGACAGCATTCAGAGCTGGGGAAAATCGAACCATAAAAAACGAGAGCAAATAAAAAGCGCAAGAAAATTACTTTCCGCTCTACAAAATTTTCTGCAAAAGCACAGTGGTGCGAAAGAGCATTAAAAAAGCATTTGATAATTTTACAATTAGCTTAAGAAAAGATCTTTGTAGATGGATTTATGGGAAGTTTGTTAATCAATTGTTTGCCTTGTAATTTCGTTAAAAAAATTTCTTAAATTTCCCTTATATTTTCCCATGCCCGTTTGCCAATCATACACTGGCACCACTGTGTGTGTGGCAACATTCAGCATCACCAATCGTTGGTGCCGCCGTCCGTCCTCAAAGTCAAGCGTGTAAAAGTAAGTAAAGTTGCGAACAAAAACCTTTTCCGCCTTTTCGGCTTTGGCCATCGGCCTTTATTTTCTTTTTTTGAGGCATTATGTACTGACAATTTTCATGATTATGCGCTTACGGGTTACCAGATAGAGAGTGTCCAGTAGGACACTGCCTGCCTGCCTGCCAATCCGTTCTCCCTTCATCATCATCATCATCATCATCATCATCGTCTCTCAGTGTCCGGTTGAGCGCAGCTGTTAAGCCTTTTCCGTTTCCGTTGGCGTTTATTTTTTTGTTCCTTTTTTGTGTTGCCCCACTAAGAGATTTCTTTTCTATTTCACGACTTGACTTTGGCGCCTAGTATTGATAGGATTGAGATACCATTGACAGCGAGCAGCGAGTAGAGTGGCGAGGCCAAAGGCAGTTTCCTGGTTATGGCCATCAAAACGGATATGAACATGAGCGGAGGGACGGAACGGTACGGTGATGCCATTCAATTGGAATTGGCGGATGGATACTGAATGTGTAGCCCGACATTTTACGGGTAATTATCGAAAATGTACTCTGGGGGTAGTACAAGGGAATGAAAGATTAAAGATAGGCGGTGGTCGGGGTGGTCAAATAAATGAAACAAAATAGAGATGTGAAATAGATTGAAGTGATGGAAAGATTGTATCGAAAAGGGGAATGAATTAAGGCAAGTAGTAATAGGGGTGGCCAGAGAGGGGCTACAGCTGAAGCTGGGTGCACAAATGAAACAAAAACTGCTGTAAAAAATCCAACCTACAGCTGATTTAATGGCAAGTCTGGACTCTCCCACCTAAATGGCAAATTAATAAAGAAGTTCTCTTCCACAAAACTTTCATTAGCTCTCTCCCCCACTGCTACACAATTCGATCCTCATGCCCCTAAGGAATTTCAATTATCCTCGCGAAATCGGTTATGGAATCCGCGCTCAGGCAAACATCTTTTTGGTCATAAAATTGTCATAACTGCAAAGTTATTGTGACATTTCCAATAAACGCGGGCACAAAATTGCCAGCTGTGGCTCAGACTCCAACTCCACAGCTCCTGCCCGTGGGGGATTGGAGTTCTGATGGTTAATTTACTACAATGCCGCGCCAATATGCAACATAAATAATGTTGAGCACTTGACATAAATAACCGAAGAATGCTAAAATTGGCAGGCAAAAGGGAAGGGAGAGAGAGTAGGATAGGAGTAGAAGTAGAAGCCAAAAGGAAGCAGGAGGAAATGCTAAAGGTCTGGCAGCTGCTACTGCTGCTGCAGTCAATTTCAGTTTCAGTTTTCGTCTCTGGAACTGTAACAATTAATTACTAACTAACAAAGTTCCACTTGCCAGGCGCTAAACTTGTACAAGTCGAAGTCCTCCCCTAAGGTCTACAGGAGCCAAGCCCAACCGAACCGAAACGAATCGAAGGCGACGTCCAAGTCGTTGACTGTCGCGCACATAAAGCGCTTTTAATTGATTTTCTTCCTGTTACGTGCGTTGGGCGAATTGGAAATCCCATGCTTGGGTTCTTCGGGCATCCTTCTGCCTGCTCCTTGTGCCATTCGTAATCGTTCATTCATTCATTCGAAATTGTAGTTAATTAATAAATTATTCCATGCGATTGAACTAACAATGTTGGACTGTGAAAACTTTCACTATGACATGGAGAGTGGAGTGTCCATCCAGCTGCCAGCTTTAATTAGCTTTTTTCTTTGTGATAGAACTTTTTGTATGCTTTTTGAGGAGGGTATTACGAGTGCATACAACATTTTGGTGGCCAGAATAAGCATTTTTGAATATAAATTCTTTGAAATTAAACAACAGCTGCTGACAGATTTAGTTTTTCCACCATTTTTTCTTGCCAAATCTCCAGCTTTCATGAGATCTCTATATCCTGAGGGGTATCTCCTGTTTCGTAGGATTTTGTTCTGTTTTTGTCTTACTTTTTGTCTCTCATTTCACTTTTATTTATTCCCAATTTTTTTTTTTGTGTTTGCCTCTTTTTGGGGGCCACTGCAATTAAACACAATTTAATGTGTCGAATGTTTATGTTGCCTGCATGTTGCGTATACGCAATGTGTTCGCCTTGTTTCGTGTACGTAACTGCTGGTAATGCGTGTGCGCCCTCTTAGCCACGATCTCGTAAATGGCGCGCGTGGCTCATTCGACAATGCCCATATTTCTTTTTTAAAGATACGACCTGAACATAAACATTTGGGATTTAGGACAGGTCCAGAACAGAGAGCGACTAAGGAGAGGCTGCTGCTTGTCCAGAGATGGGCAGAGTAGGCTCTGGTCCTCAATTAAATTTCGTTCTATTTTATGTCCATCCAGCGCGGGACAATCTTCTTTTGGCTCAGGTGTGTGTTGCCGCCTATTTGGGGAAGTAATTTTGGGCAAAGAAAAAGTACCTGGAAATCCTCAATTAAATATAAGAAACTGAAAAACTCAATTTAAAACTATATTGCATGTCAATTAACGAACAGCAATATGGCCTATCATTTGCACAAAATTTAAGCTCTGAAAATTGAGAACAAATAAATAAAACATAGAATAGAAATAAAAAAAGATTTTACAATTTCCAAATTGATTTTCAAGTACTATAAAAACCCTTGAAAATTCTCCGTTTCATCAAAAGATTTTCTTCAGAGAAAAGTATGAAAATATATTTGTTTGCACAGCAAAAAAATAACATTTCTTCAACTACAATTCAGATTATTTCCTCTTCAGCAAAAGATTTCTTTTTGCTCTGCTGACGCTGCACAATTTTCTATAAAAATATAATAAAATATGAAATAAAATATATATGCAAAAAAAAAAGCAAACATATTTCATAAATCCAAAAAGGCAAACCGGAATGGTAAATACAATTTTCATAAAAACTAATTGAATAAACAAACCAGAAAGGCAGGACATGGATACAGAGGCAGAACGCAGAGAGAGAGAGAGAGACACCCAAAAGGCATTAGCAGCAGATTACTGTCCAAAGGAGGAGCAGCAGCAGGAGGCTGCCACACATACAGTGCTCACTCGTTCTGCCTCTCTTCACGTGCTTGCAACTGCATCTCGAAGAGTCATTAGCAATGTGACCCAGAAATGGAACGGACCTTCCTAACCACATAAAATTTTATGCTGTTTGCCATAATAAATTTAATTAAAAAATCAAATTGACTGAGAGTGAGACAGAAAGCGAGAGAGAGAGAGAGAGAGAGGCAGCAAAAGTGGGTAAAGTCAGCTACTGGAGACGGAAGAACATTAGCCA